ACAAGTGCTCACAAAGAGGTATAGAGGCACTTAAATGTGCTGATTTGATCTACGACACCGCTAAAGTATATCTACAGAGGGAAGGGAAATTGTCCCACCATAGCTTTCACTAACTCATCCTTCCTCTTCATCCTCATCGTCTACAATTCTTACTCCGGGTGCTTTCAAGACAAATAAATAATGTTCAGTCACTGACTATAACAAATGCATGCGCAAACGAGTATGAGAGCAACAGTGCATGAACACGAGCACGAATAGGGCATTTGTCATGTCATGCTTATGATACGAGTTAAAATGAATTATAGGTACATTATGTATTTCTCTGTATATGCTCTGTATACGCTGTGGTTGCTAGAAGGACATTTATTTCTGTTGCGCTGTGCTCACACCTTCCTCAAAATGTAAATGACCCAGATTCTGCCAGCACTTTTCCCCCCCACAGTCCCCAAACTAGTAAGCCAAAAGAAAAAGGGAAAGATGTTGTTCTTGTTTGTATGTATGCGTGTTATCAGAGCCTTTGGGCCTCTGTTCGCCTCCTCCAGAGCTACAGTCGTTATCGCAGACAGCCTTGCCTCGACAGAGTAACCAGCTCCCACTCACTTTCCTGCGGCTGTGGCCCCCGAGGCGGGCTGCAACCAGCTACAGGGCCCCTACCGAGGGCCCCATTGTCTCCAGCAGCATACTTTCAGTGGAAAACCCAGGGCGCTCTACAAGCTCATTGTGAGCGAGCTAACAGCCTCTCTTCAAAAGGGGCTAAACGCATGTTCATTAATTATCTGGATCCTTGTTAATTGGATTAATTGTTGAATAGAAACCGTGTTATTAAAAATGACGAAAACACAAGGGCAGGGGGAGCAAAAGGGGGGATTAATATCGTTTCTGTTTACTCTCGGGCTGTCAGAAGACACAAGCACACACGCGCACACACACACATCTGAGTATGCTCTGCCTGTCTAACGGCGCGTCTCTCTCTATCTCTAACTCCGAGTTTCTATTTCACACACACATCAACACACACACACACAGCAGCCGTATGTGACCCAACTCAGAAGAATGAGCGCTAGGCAAGGTGCAAATTACCATGCACACCACTGAGATAAGAACTAAACCCATTTTCAAAGCTCAGAATAAATGCCAGATTCTTTTTGATGCAAGAAGTCTGTGACTTTTTCCAGCGTTTATATTCAAAGAATAAGGGACGGAGAAAAAAAATGAAACATAAAGTTAACACTATGAACAATTTAGCTATCTGTCCAAGTCACATGAAAAATGGGGTTTCTCATTCCCCCTGCCTATCTGCACACTCTTATCTCCCAAAATCAGTTATCAGTGTTTGACTTCAAGGGATGTTTTATCGTTCTGGCTTTAAGATGGCACGCTGATACTGCAGACCATTTGGATGTTGGGGCTAATATTACATGTCCTTGTAATTGGTAGATGTGCAACTGATGAGCCATAATGCCAAAACCTTATAGCTGTGTGTCCTGTGGTCACCAGTTGAAATCGTGACGATCAAATGGCAAATAACGGATTTGGTAAAGGGGCACTTCAGGTGTTTTGCTGTTGGTATTTTTCAACCTGAACCCTATTTTCCAATGTTTTATGCCTAAGTGACTAATTGGAGCAACAGTATTTGAAACTGGTGCAATATTGAGCAAGAGGGCTGCAGTGTAATCACTTCACCATCAATTTGTGTCCCCAAAATTTGCTTGTTTTTGTCACTGTTATGCTCATATTGTTATTCGAAGTGTCTGATAACATTACGGAAAGAATCCCTACAGAGATAGACCTTTTTGTTTAGGAATAAGATCCTTTTTTTAACCAGAAACAGCCAAGAAATCACCATCGTCAAACACACCAGATTCCATTTTAAAAAACAGGAATTTTAGAGTGCATATCACCAGCATGTTTTCACATCAAACATTGTGATTTAAAGGTTTATTTCCACCAAACCAGAGTTGGTGCTTGTTGGAGCGGTGAAAAGATGAACCAAGATGGGTTTTGTGAGTATTATTTTGTTTTTATCCACTTTGAATGAAGTGTGTCATACAATGATAAAATTATTGATTATTTAAATAGAGTCTGGTGAGTTTGGTGATGAAGATTTGGGGGCTGTGTCTGGTTAAACAAAAAGAATCTTACTCTTTAACTGTAGGGATCCTTTTACACTTATTGACAGACACTTATTAAATCAATATGAGCCTGTCAGTGGCAAAAACAAGCACTTTAAGTGGGCGTAAATTGATGGTGCATTATTGCCCCAAGTGGTTACATTGCAGCCTGTTTCATAGCTGCCAGCTATCTTTCAAAAACTGTTGTTCCTGTTACTCACTTAGAAACAAAACCATGGAAATATAGGGTCCAGGTTGGAAAAAATAAACTAAAGTTACTCTTTAAATCTAACCAAGGAACATGTTTTTCATTTTAAAGCACAGTTGGCAGTAACAAACAAAAGTCCAAACTGAAATAGAAGTTTAACAAATAATCATTTCTATAAACCAGGTGTCTGAGACTCATCTGAACCTCGACAGTAATTATAGCATTAACATACTGTAGCTATATGTAGACGCTGGCTGAAGGGCAGAGAAGCAGGATCCAGTAAATGTGTTGCATTGGTTGTTAAGGCAACCATATCTGTCTCCTGCTTTGATGTGGAGTCTCTTGTCGCCTGCTGCATTGCCAAACGCTGTTATCTTGGACCGGATTGCAAATATTTTTGTGGGGATATGTGGTTTTTCTTTTTGTGTGTGAGCAAGTTTGTATGCATGTGGTAAGTGTGTGTCTGTTGAGTTAATGACAGAGAGACACAGTTGTCTAATTAAACTTGTCCCAAGACGTCACCAGATCTAGTTAGTCGTCTCCGATTGAGTTATTGGACATGCCGCACTAATACTAAGAGCCTGGACTTAATTTACTACCCTCGATACCAACACAGTGGCGACAAACTGCAGCCAGAAGGTCATAGTGCAGCTATTTGAGCATTCATGCACCCAGCATGGGGACTACTTTTACAAAGACATGAGTGGGTGAGCAGTAAGTGGACAAACTGAATGACGGCCAAGGTCAGGGCTCAGATTTTAGCCAGGCCCCTCTCAGCCAACAGCTGTTAAAATCAAAACAGAGCAGTTGTGGTTTATTTTCACACTATGCAGGATGTGAGAAACCAGAGGTAGCCGGTGTGTGTGTTCCATTGATCAGGGATGTTAATCTTCGGAGGATATGTAGAAAGGTCCTCCCAAGGACAGGACAATGAAAAGGCCTTATTGATTACCGCAACGTTGATCAATCGGTCCCACGACAGATAACAAGATGTACAAGTCTTGAGTAACAAAAGGTATCTTGTAGGATATGGACTATACACAGGTTGATGATTTTGTCATATTTCAGCACCCTAAAGTGAAGCCTACACATGGAATCAGATTTGTAGGTTGCTCTTGGCAAGTATACTACCTCGAGACTGTCGCGCACACACACACACACACACACACACACACCTTGTGTATGAGGTGGGAGACTGAACACACATTCAACCCACATATGACTATTCAAACCACATCACCAGTCCATACCATGTTAGCAGACCTATACACATCACTGCTTAACCATAGAATTACACAAGACCTTGTAAAATCTATGTGACAAATTGGGCTGCTGTGCTTTGATGTTGACACTGGAATGTTGTTTTCACACTGGATTGGCAGCATGAAGAACCGTGCTTATGATGTTGTGTAACGTAGAGGAGGGGGGGAAAGAGGAACAACATAAAACCAGTTGGAACAGGCAAAAAATAAAGTTATTTATCAGAGGAGCAGATCTTTTTGAACAAGATATAATAAACTGCTTTTTCTGTCCTTTGCAGTTGTTTTGCTGTTTGTACCTTGTCTTGTTCTTTACCTGTTTTCTTTATCTTGCTGTTAGCGTCCTATTTTCATTCATTCATTCACCAGGGCCAGGGAAACACAATCTCATTTCTCTGTGAAGACTATTGTACTGCACTGTAATTAGATGGATAACAACAAGGACGCAGCACCTATTTCAGGGCCCTATGCTTAAGCAGTCTCTGTGGGCCCCCCATTGTTCCTCTCTTGATCCATGTCACTCTCATGCACCATTTCCAAAGTCAGTTTGTTTTTGTTCCTTGGTTTCTCTTTCTTGGAGGAAGACATGACAGCGTACGTTGGTGTCCCGGCAGTTCAAGCAGCCACTCAAATCTAACTGCATTAAGAGATGAAACCAACTGAGGGGGTGGATTAAACCATTTTGTGCCTTTAAGGGGTAAGAAGGGTGTCAGAGAGTTTCTAAAAAAATTTAATACAAATATTAGTCTTTCAGTTGATTTATTGAGCCAATTTTAATGTTGTTGTGGCACTTATGAGAAATAAAAAAATGCAAACAACAGCACACTTTTCATTTCATGCTTTTTGAGGGCCCCCCTCAATCCCACTTTCCCCCCACCATGACACCCCTGGATGACAATAAAACCTCTAATCTTAAACATGAGGTGATCTATAAAGGGAAAGTGTGTGTTGATGATTCAGAGGAATTAAAAGTAGGGAAAGGAGAACTCCTAATTTGATATGTTAAAGAATTTATGTTGCTGTCTAAAACACATAAAGAGGAAATCAAATCTCAGCTGTCTCCTCTTTTTACTCACATTATTGCCACAAGCTCTGCCTTTGGTGTTAAAGTTATAAGACCACTGAAGACAGTAAAAAGGGCACAAAACCATTACTTTAGAGTTTTAACTGATATAATGTCGCTATTAGTGATGAAAAGGAGACAGAATTAAATGTGTGCTGCCTTGTGTTGACAACACTTCAGGGGTATTATGTGCATTCCTGCGCACTGCTCACTATTGGCTCATATTTCTGTCAATCATTTAAGTAGCAACGCCGCCCCGCCCTCCTAGCTCTTATCTAAGCGCTCATTGGTTCTCCCATTAGTCCCCCGAAAGCCCGCTGGCCAATAGCCGTTGAGGAGGACGGAGCCTTTCCGGTGGAAGAGTCTCTCGCGCCTACAGTGGTGGAATCGAACGTCCCCGAGCGCACACGGCGTAGAGGAGAGTACAGCGCACGAGTCTCTGGAAGGAAGATAACGGTTTCTTTTTTGCCCCCTCTCCACTCAAACAGCAAGAACAAACCAAACCTGAATTTTTAGGGGGGTTTACAGAGTCTTCACATCACCAGGAGGAGGGAAGCGAGGGATTGGAGCCGCAAGTTTTTTTTTTTTTTCCTTTTTCGTTTTTTTTTCTTCCTTTTCCCTAAAACAGGATTCTGTGTTTCACGGTGGTTTGTTCTCCGCACTCGCCGCAAAGATGATGGTCGGAGAGGTCGAAGTGAAGGAGCGACCGAGGCCGAGTCCCGACTATTTGATGCAATTATTAAACGAGAAGAAGCTCATGACCAGTTTGCCAAATCTCTGCGGCATCTTCACACACCTGGAGAGGCTTCTCGACGAAGGTAAGTGGCGGTCTGGAGCGACCGGGGGGGGAGAGAGAGGAGGGGAAGCGTGACCACGGCGCAGTCCGGCTTCGGCACGGCTTCGCTGGGCGTCCCTGCTGCATAACGTTAGCGAGACCCACACTCGATATTACCAACCGTGGCAGGCACGATAACACTCACAACTTCCCCCCACGATTAACACCTCACATCCAGAGCAGGAAACCATTTATCCTGAGTGTCTGTCTCAGCCAGCGAGATGTGGATTTGAGAGTTGTGTTGCTAACGCTGGGGCTTCCACGGAGTTTGTTTCTGCACTCTTGACTTTGTGGCGACGAGACGAAAACTTTCTCTCACGCACTTAGAAAAATCACAACTGCCTATCAATGTCAGTGTATTCACACAAACGTCTCACAGTGACATTTTAAAGCACTCTTTAGGTTTTTAAAATCTCATTAAATTTAGACGGGGCCTGATTCCACATGTTCTCCAGCATTTTAGCTTCTGTTAGCCACATTTTAAGCTAGCGAGCCTGGGTGTCTGCATTCCGTTGAACTCTTCAGGAACCAAAACGGTAGCGTTAACTTAGCTAACGCCTCCTTAAATAAAGACTTAACCAGGCAGCACTGCGTTTCACACAAATGTCAAGAAGTGTTAGAAAAGTTGTCTTTATTTTCGCTCGGAGGGGTTGTGTGAGTTGTTGCCCAGCGGCCGAGCTTAAAAGCACGGAGGAATGTGTGTGCTTGTTGCCCAAACAATAGCCAGCAGTGAGTTGCTGCTGAGAGGGGGAGTGCACTAAGATTATTTCAACCGTCTAACTTTTTCATTTAAAAAAAGGGGGACATGGTTTTGTTTGTCTCCCTCCACACAGCCACTACAATATTTGTCTTGAAGCGAGGGTTATATTTCCTTCCCTTACTGCTGCAGCAGCAGTCGTCGTGTTTTTTTTGCCAGTCAAGCGTGCCTTACCAAAAATTGCGTCGCCGTTTGTCGGCGGCGCCGTCCAGACGGGATTTGTCTGTCTGTGTGTATTTGCCACGATTTGTCCCTGATTTTGGCACGAGGAGCTGCGCTGAAACACGGGGCTTTATCGCTGTTTATGTTGATAGTATCAATAACATAAGCTGGTCTAAGCGGAAGGTTGGACCTATGCTTTATGTAACTGAGCTGGGGACACTAGAGAGCGCCACAGCCCCCTAAGCAGACTGTCCCCGTGCTGTGTGTGTGGTGTCGGACTGGACACCATGACACTGATGAATAAAGAATAACAGGCTACAACACGGGAAAAACAAGTGATTGCTTCGTAGGCAGCACAGGACGCAGAGAGCAGTGCATACCTCAGTTTCGGTTGCATGTCTGGATGAGTAGGCTCTGTAGTATGTAGTTGCCAAACCGGTCTGCAAAGATTTTCTTGCTTCCTTCATGAGGGGTAAACAAAATACTTAAAGGCGTAAAGTAGACTATTTCCTGTCTCACCAGTAGTAAAATGCATGCAAATAAATATAATTACACAGCCTCACACTTACTAAAACACCCCCACTCAAATTAAAGTCCAAACCTGAGTGTTATTTTGGTGCAGTAGATAAAGTAAGGTCCCTCTAATCTGTGACACAGACACTGTGTGTGTGTTTAAAGAAATATTTAAGTGCTTTTAGGATGAAAAATAGCACTTCAGTGTCAGGTTGAGGCCTTTAGAAATGTAAGCAATAAATCACTTCGTGTTAAGTGTGAAAAATAAGAGACAAATTTCCCAGGGTGTGATGATAGCATTCCCCCTCATGTTTGCAACCAGATTTTGTCGTTAACACTGCCAAGTTTGATTTCCCTCCACACCCCATAAATGCATCATAAAAGAGGCATTATGGAGTTTTTTAAAATTCTGGGAGCCAGCTGCTTTATTGGGCTCAGTTGGGAGTGATGGGTGTGTGATGTTTTCATTGAGGGGAGAGTCAGGAAGCAGATCTGTTTTCTTTTTCATCGCTGCTCCCCTTTGCCATTTGCCATTCCCCGTAGTCGTAGACCCCTAACAATCATCTGAGCAGCAAAGAACAGGGATCACGCACGCAGCCTGTGTACCTCTCATGTGCTCTCAACTCAGCCGTGTTACTGTTGGCACAGAATGCGAGCTAATCCACAGAAAGCAAGAGGCTGTGATTCAGCTTCTGTGTGGTCAGCAGTGATTTAAAAAAATCTAATGTATAATACATTTTATATTTACTGGCTTTTTAATTTTTAAGTAGCAAACTAACACAAATCCAGCTTCCAAACTAGGCTGACCCTAAAGTGCTGAGGTGATAAGGGTTTGGGCTTTTTAAATATACTGTTAACTCAGGGAGATCAGTAAACTTTGTTCTGTCACGTGGAAAATGTGGAAAGTTTGTTTCTCTGTGACTTCCTAAATCCTCTGGTGTCCTGAAGGAACAGAACACTTTGAACGCAGCTGAGGTATTGAGCTATTTTTGGTTTTTCTGGGGGTGAATTGTCTCATATTTTGCATTGGGCCTATAGTCACCGTTCTTTGTGTTTCATCTGTGCGCTAACTGTGGGACTAAAGAGTATGTAAAGAATTACAATGCACTCTGCAGAGATGCTGTGTGCTGGATGTTGTGCACTCAGTGTAAGGCATCGAACACATATAGGCACATTGTAATACTGCTCTACTAATTTTGATCCGTGGGGATTTACGGTCACAGATCTATGTTTTACCTCATTTGCAGTAATAAAATAAAAGCCACTGAGCTTTCATTGAAAATAAATTGGTGGCACTGTTTCGCTTGTCTTTATTCCTTCAAAGAAAATGATTTTCCAACATGTAGTTTGATTTCTTGCACCGCATGATTTTGTGGCTTTGGAGGAACTGGTTTAAAAATCAATCCTGTAATGCTGGACTGGTCCAGCGACTCTGTGCAGCACTCAACGGATAAACGCTCCCTCCCCTGGTGTTTTAGAAATCATGGCAGGGACACTTGTGACACACCAGCTCCAGTCTCACTCCTCTAACACTGCACAAGTCTGGGGGTTTACAAGCGTTTCCACAGCACCAGCCCAAACTTTACGCTGCCGTCAGATATTGCGTGTGTGTGTGATGAAAACCACCCCAGTGTAGAGGAGGCCTGTCAGACTGTCTGGTTCCTGTTAGGGGCGGTTTGGTCTGCTTTCCCCTTTGAACGGGGCTGTAGTTCTGATGCGATACTCAGGACCAGCCTCCCCCACCCTCTGTCCTGTGCTGGTGAAAAGCGACCCCACCCAGGGTAAAAACCAAAAGCACAATCCAGTCTGTGCGTTTTTTATTAGGTTTAAAAAGGAGAGAGGAAAACAGTACTCAAACTAACAGCCCTTCCCGTTGGCTTAATGCGCCTAAAATAGTTGTCAAGAGTGTGTTATTTTTAATGTGTTGCGCTATGTGGCCTGTGCTGTCAGATTGTCGCAATTCCAGAAGCTCAGAAAAGTTATTTTTAATAGTTTTTTTTAGTGGCAGCTCGAGGTTTATAATTGTGTGATGAGAAAAATACGATGATGAATGAAGCATGTTTTGTGACTGTGGTCTTTGCCAGCAGTAAAGATAAACATCACACTCCACTGCAACTTCTAGTCAGATAGGATAGACTCCAGAAGGGAATCTTAAACTTGTGGAGTTGTGGTTTGAATTGCGTTTGATCTGAAAAGTTATTTTGTTTGGTGTGTGTGTGTGTGTGTAGTTTTCTCCTCAGACTTCTCAGTCAGTTCTGTCTCATTGAAAGCGGGTGTCTTTTCAAGGCGTCAAGGAGAGAGCAGATGCAACATAAAAAGCTATTTATTCTCAAGCAAAGGTAGAAACATAACCAGCCAGGGTAGAGTTATCACATAATGAAAAGAAAGGCCAAAAAACATCAAATTAAGGACCGTCCTAATCTGTCAACAAAGCACCAGCCGTCTTGTCTCCCGAGGGACAAAGGTTTTTGTGTGTTGATAACATTACAATGACGGCACTTTTGTTCTGAATAAGTACTGTTTCACAGGTTTAAATGTGATTGAACATCTTAAATACCCTCCTTTGTCAGACTTAAGCATGCCTAGTAGGAGCAAAAAATCTAACCAGTTACAGTTGAACGCTTCAAACTCGTTCCAAAATTGTCCATTTCTCGAGAGTATACCACTCCGACAGCTGCACGTCTTCCTCGCCCACCCTTCGTTTTTTTGCATGTCTTCACAGCTGTTTCCATGGCGGAAGAAAGCTGACACCACCCTTGTGTGTGACGACTGCTCCCACCCTGCTTCAGTGGCGTGAGTGCATGGACGCCCCTGTTACGCTCCCAATATGCGTGTCGTCCTTCAAGGTCACTCTGGCCAATTGACAGGCCCCTTTTGAAATCCCCTTGCGTTGCAGTTGTTCATCTCCCCGAGGTGACACCTGCTATGGAGTTTTTTTTATTTCTCTTTACGATCTGCCAGCCAACAAGCTGCTTCAAATTGCTATATTTTCTCTTGGCAGGAGGAGACAGCCCATATAACATCTAGAGATGTAGCCTAGTAGTGAAGTGCAGGCGCTGTTGTAAGGTAGCGGAGCATAGGAGAAAGGAAGGGTTTTTATTTTTTTTTTTGTCGTCATGAAATGTGGCGAGTGTTTCTATGGGGAACAGAATAGTCGGACTGATCGAAAATATTTATTTCAGGCTCCCCTTACCTTTCCTTACAGGCTCATTTTTGATCTTTGTTTGTATAATAGATTAAATGGTCCGTTGTTCCACTGCACGCTGCGTGGCACAGCCACATGGTGCATTGTACCATTTGTTCCTGGCTACAGAAACCCCCCCTTTGCATATACAGTTCTGTGTCTGCTTGTTTGTCTCTGTGTGCCGTGATTTAACGGGACCTTCCCGGGAGAGCTGTCAGCGTTTGGAGGACAAACTGTCTGCTGTCCACTGTGGTGCCTGTGTAGGGAACTGGTCCTCTGGGAAAAGCTGTTTAGAGCACAGATTTTGATAAATGGGAGAATGCTAGAAGTCTGCGTTTGGTTTTCTACCTGATGTCCCATATTTCTG